TAGTTTATTATTATAACAAAGAGCCGATTGTCACTACAATCGACTCTTTGTTGTGATAATAAGCTATCCGTCATTGCAAGCTGTAGGCGCTGCTATGTTTGTTGCTTGATAGTCTACAGCCCCTGTTTGTTTACGAGCACAAAGAAGAAGGACAAAATGGAATACATACGTAGTACACTCTGTACTATAAAATCCGTAACCGCTTAGTGGCCTACGCTCAGGGCACGCGGTGAAAGTATCAACTGGAACAGCATCCCGATGGTCCTCTTGAACATAATCACCACTGAATCCGACTTTTGATATAACCTTTCAAATGCTAGACTGTGACTCTATTTAGTTTGGTTTTATTTCGGTCGTTTCAAATCCTTTCCTTTTTAGCTGTTACCTAAGTTATTGAGTACACGAAGAAGATCCAATAAGCACAGGGATTGAAGCACCGCAATTATCGGGTTTCTCTGCAAAAACTGTGACACAAGTAGCGACGTTTGTGGCCCACTACACTAAGGTGATGAAAAACACCCTGTTTGACGAGTTTGGACATCTTACGGAAAATAATGTTATGACATTTTTCTCAACTTTTTTTGCTAAGGCTTCCTAGAAACTCGTGGAACTCTTCGGCGACAATGGTATATTCGGGTATCATCGTAGATGCAATGTATTTACTGACCGTTTGCCTAGAAGCCTAAAATTCAACTATTTCGGCACAATGCTTGCTGTGAGCCTTCTAGCTTCTCATGGAACCTTTAAAAAAGTCAAGCAGGACTTGTATGAAATGCCCAACTTCACGGAGAATTTTTCGAAAGCCAGTACGACGTTGCTAAAAGCTAGTTAAAGCTAATTTAACCTTCCCTATTATAAATAATGAGGCGCATATAGATGCTAAATCACGTGAGACAAACATCTTCTTGATTTATTTTATTCAAACGCTTCCACTAATAAGCCTCTCTTTTTGTGCCTTTGGTAAGCGCGATGGATACCTGAATTAATAGGTTCCGTTAGGACACGACACATTCACTTGGAACAAGATAAACCAGATCCTTTGAGGAATATCTATCGTTTTTCTTTGGCCATCGTTATATGTATGCCTGTTTGCATGCTCAAGTCTGCCATGTGTTTTCAGTAGGCATGGCTGACATTTTAAGTAAGAACCAGGTATTGAGTTCCATGCTTTAACGAACGGGTCTCAATAATAGTGAGACGAACGTTTTCTGTGTGCGTGTGCGGCAGACGTGTGACGCCAGCTCCCGTAATAACGCGTCACGTACGATCAATCTAAACAATGTCACTTGAATTGTTTTATCTTCAGGCATTAAGGGACTTCGTCGTTGTATTTGCTTTATTCAGTGACAATCCGACTTTTGTAGTTATGAGTCGCATCATCCGACCACAATTCTACGCTCGTAACCCGTTTTCTCGCGTCTTTTGTTGGCTACGAAATTACTTGTATTTCAATCGCTCTTCTAACAGACGGCCCAGTCACGTTTTGTTATTTCAACACAAACATACAGAGTTCACGCCTGGGTTTCGTAAGCACCACAAAAGAAGGCGAACTGCAGTCCGTGACGGAGCTGCCCTGCGGATCGTCTATAAAATTGTTCTTTTACGCGTTTGCCCTAATTTCGTCTATCCCAGGCCGACTGATATTTTCCTTAATTTTGAACGATTTCACCCAGTTCTCTCTATAACGAGCTACCGACCCAAAATAAGGGCTAAATTAGAAATATGTGACTGCTTGGCTTCCAGTCCAACCCGAAAGTCTGCTGTATAGGTGACCAGCTGAAGCGTAAATGATCAATTTATTGCATGTACATATCGAGGGCCCATTCTATAAGCGAGCCGCAGACTCGTGTACATTTTTTATGGAATACATGTTTGCTAAGGTTTAACACACATGCTACAATAACGCGCACCGAAGTGTTGAACTATGACACTTTATAGGAGTTAACTTTTGGCCGTTCACAAGATGCGCACATTTACTTAACAATGGGACGACAGAAGACGCATCTTCTGTGCATTTTCGTGTCAGATAAAAGATATATATCAGATCTTCATGTCAGTTATACTTCCGCTAGTTCCCAAACTAGTTCTTTATACAGAGCTTCACCAGTTTGAACTAAATGATGCTTTGAATCTAAACTATATTTGGTGATTAATATTGACACAGTAAAGATGTTAATCTATGTATTATTGTCTATTTTCGCAGCTTCTTTTGCAGCTTTTTTTTCCCCCTGCAACAAGTAGATGTAGCTCCTAGCACGTTCGGCATTATGTAGCCAGATTGCCTCTGAGAACCCATTAATTAAGTACAATTCGTTTCTCACTGTCCTTGCAAACGTAGTAGCAGTACTTGTGGGGGAGCTACTGGATCGGCTGGGGTATGCGGGCTATTTTTCATCGCCTGCACTTTGGATCCGTGAAAAAAGAAGTCAGCCGAGATTTGGAAGCAACAGACACTCTTCAAAATTTCTTATCGTCAACATCAACATCGTAACTCAGCTTGGCAGTTATTCAGGAGTTTAAAGATATTATATGTATTTAAATATACTTATACATGGTAATATGAGCATGAGGGGATGACTATAGGTGGTGGGGTGGGGTAGGGGGGGGGGGTGTTGATTCGCTCGTCACAGCGACAGTAACAGCAGAAACTGACATTATTTAGAATAGCACGACACGACACACGGGCAGTTGGAGAAAACGATTTTTCATAGATGTAGAACAACCGACCGGCCAACAAAATAAGACGACGCCGATGCTACTGCCGCTGCGATGCGCGAGAAGCCGACGCCACGTGACGCTGGGTTTTAAACGAATGAAATAACAAGACAACAGGCAAGGAAAAACAAAAAGACGCCATAACGTTGAGGTATGTTTAGTTTAAGTTAACTTGTTCTTACTTCTGTCGTTCTGACGCTGTCGCTGCCCTGGAGAATGCAGTATCACGGGCGCATTTGAACGAATCGGTCAGAAGATAAGAACTAGAATGACGACTCATCGTTGACGTCTCTACTTAGCAAACAGGTAACGTCAACGGAGGCATAAACAACAGCGACAACAAACAGGCAGTCGCAGGCGCTTTGAGGTATTTGCAACAGTGAAGTAACTTCAAACGAAGTGACCGATGGCCACGGCCGAACAAACGGGCGAAATTTATTTCATCTATGTGGCCAAATGGCTGTTGAATCCATCAATACGCATTATGCCAAGCATAGCCAGGTTGAGCTCCTTAAAATTGATATGCCTTATCACGCGCCTGTAGTTCCCCAATAGTGGCAAATGGAGGCCGGGTGCGTAGACGGGTTAGCCGACGTATATAGACTGGCCAGTAAACAACGACAGCAAAAACGTATTGCGTCTATTTGTCACGCTGTTAATACGAAGCATAGCCGTGACGAGTGGGTGAGTACCCTAAAACGGGAGATAAATCAACGACGACCATAGGTTACGTTAGTATGCAGCAATCGAGCTATGGCGCGGGAAAAAAATCTTCCGCTAAATGACTATGACGGGAACAGGCATCGTCCGAACAATTTAAGCATGGCCAGAGCAGAAGTGATTGGTGCCGGGTAACTGCTTTATGTATCATGATTCAGCTGTGGGTTGTCGTCGTACAAAGGCCGGGGCGGGGAGTTATTACTTGTAGAAAAAGAACGGCGGATAATATGCATTCGCCGTCTCAATTTACCGCTGCTGTGATAAGAACAGCAACAACAATAACCAGACAACAAAGTCAAAAAAACTTGCAAAAGGATTTGAGACAATGCTTAACGGGCAGCAGCAGCAGCTGTCGGGGTATACGACACACACAAACACATACACACACGTTTTTTTATGTATATATTAGTGTGTGTCTGTGCGTGTCTACATGAACCACATCTAGAATTGACGACAACAGAGCTAGGCAACTTCTGGCTGGACAGATACCTCCATGGGAGTAGTAATGCACAAACTGGATCCTAACACCAGCGAAACAGACCAACCCTGAATGAATGCCGTGACGGACTAATGTCTTCATTTAGTCTTCATTCGCCCTATGGAGGCGAAGTCTAGTTCAACGATGTCATCATCACGTCAATTATTTTCATAATATGAAACACCTCGTTGAAAGCGTAAATATATAGAGTGTGTAGTACTATAATTGCCTCCACTTAGGGAAGACGGACAGTTAAAATTAGCGTCGGAAATGACTAAACAAAGGCTGTCTCTATACAAAGTACTGATTGCTCTACAGTTCTATAAAAAATAGTCGCATTTAATGGTGAAGTTCTTTATATCAATAAAGTTTAAGAACGGTGCTCAAAACTTTAAAATGTTTACCTAAGCACGATGTATGCTCATCAGGCGGACGCAGATTTGAACAACGGCCACGAATTATGTGTCGGCGGAACGGTGCTTCGAAAACTTAACAGGAACGCGACAGTTCTAAAAAAGCGTAGCGCGAAACTTGAATCCTGACATTTCTCTTATTCGTCACTGATTTGTAGATTTAGTCGAGAGTCATGACAACTCGTTGGTATCTGTTGCCTGTCATCCCATTTGGGCCGACCCAACCCCTTCGCTCTAATGCTCCACTCGCTTGTTTCAACATTTTTCAACATTATTAAAAAAAAAAAGAACCCACGCTGATATAATCGCTGCTTGTTATTTTTAGAGACGTCGCTTCAGCTATAGTTATAACTGACGATTAGCTAACAATATTCCAGTCTTCTTATATCGTGCGGACAAAATGCTGTTCTATCAAGTGTTAGAACGCCACCCGCTGACTTCCCTGCAATTTTTATTAAGGTCCTTCAAATCCGTTGCTCGCTTTTCTTTTAATTAACTCTAGATGCAACTGAGGAACCATTAACGGTAACAAAAATAACTTGTGGGTATTATCTTGCTTCGTATTTTTAGGCCTTTTAGAAGATAATTCATCGATAAGCTGGAATAGCATTTTACCAATGGATAAAACCAAGAATAAGATTTCGCTAACTTTTTCTCCCGTTATTCTCCATGAGGCGCCTGAGGCGTTCATCTGATGATGATGAGGAATGATATGTGCCAGCTTGTCGAGTATTCTCTCAAACCGTAAACGGTTCAAAACCAGAGGCCGGGCGACGGATCAATCGAATCGTGTACATCATCACTGCCAGACTTCAAGTGAAGATATCATTGGCGCCTTAAGGAAGTACGTAATTGGCAAGCTTCTTAATAGATTATTTACATCTAATAATTAATAAAACGAATTGTATTGATGCAAAAGATTTTACGCCACATCACCGTCTTTCTTTCAGCGAAGAATCAAAGGGTGCTTGTGCAAATCAACGGTTAGCTACTGAGTGGCGAGCAGACCGCAAAAAGAGCCTAGACTGATAATAGCTTTACGTTTTAGGCCCGTTTTTTTGACGGGTCTGTTCAAACGCTTCAACAACTTATCTCTTCCGTTCTCTCGCGCATTGCCTGAACAAAAAAAGGGCATATATAACAATCAGCAATCTCAACGTTTCCAACGAGTGTGGCTTCCCTTTAAAGGCGACTCGAATTTTGAGCGTACGCATGCTTTTTGTGGGTCACGCAGGTCCATTGACTGCTGTCCATAAGGTTGTATTAGTTGACCCAGAATTGCGTTAAATGACACTAGAGAAAAAATGTATATGCTCTTGTTAAATTTCGATATAGACTACGTCGCCAATATGCGCTTACCAGCAGGATCTGGTTTATAACAATAACATCTCATTAAAAATGCTACCGCCTTAATCAACCAGAGGATCGGCCATTGAAACGATTGTTCAGACTGGAACAGGTGAAACACAACCGTGTTGCTTGACAAATGTAAAATCTCAAGATAGGCAATTTCCTAAATTGTAAAACCAGGATCTGGCTGTGTTAACATTTCCGAAAAGATCAGGTGATTGCCAAACGTCAGCAGCTGGGCGAATAATTTAGAATTTAGAAATTCATGGCCTTACCCAGTTTAGAAAAGCGCGAACAAATGGCAAATAGGGAGCTATCGCGGCTTCATTTCGAGTGCGCATGAGCACACTGAATTTTACACTGTTGTGTCGTCATTCCAAAATGTCTTAGGAGGCAGCTTGCCAATTTATCTGTCCATTAAATCATGTACTGAATGATTATCCAACGAAACTTGTTCAAAGGAACGGAGCGATCTTTAAGTGTCGGTATTAATACAGACTCAGGTAACTACGGATATAGGTGCTTCTGGACGAATCTAACTAGCCCTTTACGATCCATCGAGCCAGTCCTTTTTTCATTAAACTACTTGAGACAAGGTTCCACTAGTTCGTTCAGATCTTTTCCTGGTCTTTTGAACATTGGCTACCTATTAGGTTATTATTAATCGGAATTGATTTCGTGCTAAGATTATGCGCAGTAATTCGGCGAGCATTATTAAGTTCTCTGCGACTTTGGTGAGAAACTTTTGAAGATCAAGTTAGATCAGTATCAGCTTCATCCGGGCACTCGTCCCAAGTCGTACGTCGCTCATTTCAAGAGGCGCTATGCTGAATTCCGTGTCTCGTCTTTTTTTCCTCTCTCGCTTGGCTTCAACATGTCTGTGTGTTCGCGTCGCCCTGCACACCCCGACCAGCTAGTAAAAGCTTCATCTCCCTTCGTCTCAGTTCACTTTACTTCGTCCAAGCTGTCTAGCAGAATTATCCCTACGACTCCACGTAGCCAAACACAAGTGCCCGGCTCTACTCGCTCAAAATTAGTCATTCTCAACGCGTACAGCTACTTTTTCATTGGTTTGGCTAGAGAGGCTAAGCCACTTTTAGCCGATTCGCAAGTCGACCTGCTTCCGTGTGGCGAACGACTTCACTCGTAGGTGATATCTTCATCAAGCTCGGTAAAAGTGAAGGCTCTGCGCAAACCTCAACAGGTTCTTGTTTAGGTTTGTTACTATTCGCCGTAACGTTCCCGTAAAACTGAAAACATCCTTCGTGAATGGAGTTACTGCTATCGTATTCGTGCCTGGAGGACTATTTTGCATGTAATCGCTCGTTGAGGAAGAAATGTAACGTACTCCCGCTTCTCCTGATACCGTTGCCTCGTGAGCAGAACTAAGGTCATACACTGTTCAACGGGGTTTCGTGACCGCTTTTATACATATCAAACAAGCTTAATAGTACGTCAGTTACTTTTCATTCAAGTCACATGCGTATAGCGTACGAGAGCTTCATCTCTGAATGGAAAGACACGCATAGAGGGAACAAACTAGGAACGAGCATTTACATTATTTATATAGGCCAGATACGTATGCGAATATTTCTCTTTCCGCTATACGTATTCGATCTTCGGATCCATATCTGGATAAAATAACAGAATTTATTCAGCCTTCGTTACCGGATAACTATATCCTATTAGAGATTAGAGCGCATTTCAGCTTTGCAGATCTCTTTTATATTTTGCGTGTTAAACGCCGCTGAAAATCTTTTTTGGCCAATAGGATTTGGATTGAAACGTATCTTATTTTAAAATTAATATTTAAACATTATGCTTGTTATGGGTCCACAAACCTGAACGCCCCGAGTCCCATACATGCTACTCCCGAATATCTATCAACCCAATCGTATAATGCTCACGGTTGGCGTAATTAAAACACTGTATTTAGTTATGGCATGATTAAAGATATAAAAGTCGTGATCACAGGCGGACGTAGCTCAATTGTACAGAGCTGTCTTCTACTGCTGTCGTACATTGCATCGGCATACCGGACACCTGCCGGTATAAGCAGGCTTGAAAGAGGCAAAGAGGTTCCACATCAGTGGAAGTTGTCGTAGTTGTGGTGGCAACTTATTCATCGCAGTCCCTCCTCTCAATGGAACCCAACGGAAGCAGCGATCGGTCTGACTCACTGTAAAGAGCAGAAGTTGAGACGGCTCACGCGATATCCATGTAGCATTATGTCTCGGAACATTCGAATGCTCGTGCATAGGAGACAACTCAATCTGATTTGGTACGATGACGTCTAATTTGCGACTACAAGCAATGCTTTCCGTATGTACTTTTTGTAAAGTATAATAAATTCGTCGAGGCAAAGGTGTCGGGATAGAGATGCTGAATCCTATGAGGTATTCTGATAGCTGAAGAACGTTGCTTTGCTACACGAAACATCACTACGATACCTCATACTTGAAATTAGCAATATATATCTGACGTCTGGTCTTATTTAATTAATCATATTAGACGATCCTGCTGACAGTTATTTAGGGCTGAGTAGAAACGACGGGAACAAGCTTTACAAGGTTAAACAAGCTTTTCGATTCAGAACAACAGGTTAATGTCTGAATTCGTCCTCTTCCAAAACGTCAACGACCGAAATTGTCTTTTTTTTTTGTTTGAAAACGCTTCTGAAATGTATTTTCCCTCTTTTTTTTTTTTTTTTTTTTTTAACTGGGATTCGTTTTGCGACCAGGAAACTGTTCTCTGATATTGAAGTTGGTGAAAAACTCGTGTTTTGGCTGTCAGTTATAGCTCGTGTTGGTTCCGCAGACTTTCGTTACACTATCCCATATCCTCCCTGTTGCTTGACTTCCCGAGTCTTTTCTCAGATGACGGTGCGTTGTCGTCAGCTAATCTGTCGTATTTAGCTCCTACAATTAACTCATAACGACAACGCCAACGATTACAACAACGACGGTCAAAACGACGACGGCCGCATTCACAGGTCAACTCATGTTTGTTCTTGCAGTTTATTTTCTGTTAGTTCTCTATGCATCTTTTGTATTATTTCATCTTTATCTGGCAGTTGAATACAGCACAAGGAAGAGAGAAAGACACCGCACAAATACGGGTAAAACGGAAAAAAGGGTCTACATCCGATTATATACGGAAACTGTATACAATAGCTGGTAGTTACGCAAATAAAAAATCAGCTGTGTAACATCAAGCCACCACGTACGCTTCGGCATCGCGCTCCCGCTTCCCGAATTAACAAAAGAATAAATGAAGGCCATATACGGCCTTTGGGTATGTTTGTGTACGTTGCATACGCTTGTGTACCTGACGTATGCTTTCCGAATTTCAAAAATTAGGGACATTGCACTAAAAATAATCGCTGATCCACAGTGATACCAGTACGTCACTTGTGCATACAGGCAGGAAACGTGTCGAAAAAGACGAGTGACGACCGCTCGCTTGACCGGACCGAACGGTAAAAAGGCCACAGGATTCTCGCTGGACGACGAATACGCGGTGCTTAATTGTCTAGTGATTAAAATTCGATCAATCATCATATTCTTATTGGTGCTGTTATAACGAAGGCAACGAAGTTAAATAGAAATAAGAGGTATCCGACGGTGATCAGGTGCCCACTGCGCATTGAATTCAGTCACTTGAGTACGAGCGTAGCGAGACAACAGAACCAGCGGCAGCGGGAAAATAAAGACCAGACGAGAAATTTAGAAATGTCGCTACTGTTGCTGCTGGCGTCAGCATAAGAAGCGCCCGCCGGAGAGCCAGTGCGTAATAGCTAGCCTTGTTGTCATTACAAACTGGCAATGGATACTTGGGGCTCGCTTGTTTACCATCTTGGCTGGTTATATTCGTTTACTGAAAATTGAGCAGGAGCCGTCATCCGCTCGTTAACGTCCCAACCGCCGCGACCGCCGGCTGCTAACGCTGTCTGCGAGCAGACTGTTTTGTCTGGCATCGCTGGCGACGACGACGACGACGACGATGATGATTGACTCAATTACTTTATTATTTGCCCGACGCCAGAATGGAGACGTAAAACATCCAGTGCCTTAGTTATAGCACCAACATTCAGTAACATTTGAAAGATCTCCCAAAATATCAGCATTATGTCTCTATCATGCACGACTGATGGGCTGCACGTTGATTCTTTCAAATTTCAGTATAATTTCTTTAAATCATAGAATTAGCAGTGAAGAATTATGAATAGGCAAGCTAACGCAACGGAACCAGGAATGACAACAGTGAGGGCTTCAATGAGCCTTTTTAAATATTGTGAAACTTCGAAGCTCCAAAGCGCATGATTGCACAGTCCTTGTAGTCTGTAAGCATCATAGGCATTTCTACTATGTAATCTGAAATATAGCTATAACTCTATAGGGACATCCGCGTATACCGAGATATCTATAAGAGAGAATAATTTCCCATTTAAAACATGAAATAATGGGTAAATTTACCATTCCAAGTTATTCAGTCTAACCAAGCGCGTACTACTATTCGTCCTTGTACACGGCTTTGCTGAAAGGCTTCTTATACTTATTTCGGAAGTTTGTACTTCTTAATTTTGATGTACGGCACACTACTGTGTCCGAATCCCACAGGAAATCCATTTGTGGTACCAGATATTTTAAGCAATCCGATATGTTGATTACGGCGCTCAAGACATTTGCCTATTTTTATGGCACACCATCGGCATTCTTTGGATATCAACGACACTAAGACTAAGAATGCAAGGCACGATCTACGAATTTCTCTTGGCTTGTTCCCATTCGTATTGGTTTCAATGTTATACACCATATGCGGAATAGGCATAGCTTCGAAAAAATCGATTTTTCGAAAAGAGGCTTGTTACAGTACAGAAGACCTTCTTTCTCCAAAAAAAAAATCATTGTTTGCCTGAAAAGTACGAGATAGCCATAATTTCGGTGGGAAAATCTTTTTGAATGTATAGTTACACATTTTGTTATTAAATGTCACAATTTCGCAAAAATAGACTGTCCTAATTAATGCCAGATTCTAATATTTCATCGTGTTGTTACAGCAGCGTCATCTGCCTTTAATATTTCTAGTAGTTGCTAATAGCTTATGCGTATATACGTGGGTACTTCATAGAGTTTCAGATCGTCATCACTATATAGTAATATTTTCAGTTCTCTTTTCTCCAATGTTTTTATGCCCAGCATACTCAGACGCAGAATTCTTATATTCTATCTATGATGTTTTCGATACGTACTTAAACAAGCTTGCTCCTCTCAGGACACTTTAAATGTGCTGTAACTTGCATAACAAATAAAATTGCCCTCTAAGGTTAACTTACATTACGGCAACATCTTCTTGTTAGTCGTTATTTCATACATGGTAAGACGATTCCAGTTGTTGACTATTCATAAACAAACCCTTTAGGATTAGTTGATATATTACACCACTAAAAATCATCGGAGAGATTCATTGAAGACTTTCACAAAAGCATCTGTATGTATGTTTTAATACGTTGTGTATATACCGTGCGCTTCAGAATGAAAACAATAATTAAGATCAATAATTAAGGCTATTAAAATAACAATTCCACTTGAAGACGAGTTAGAATCGGTAGGAATACACACAAATTCTTCCTCATGTATAGACGTACGTTTACCTGGACCAACGAACATCCGCTAGTATGCAGACAATAAATAAAAAATAGAGTATTTTTGTGATTTTTCCGAATATAGCAGTAACTTGAAAAAAAAATAGTAAAAAAACCTATAAATCTCGTTAATACATCAGCGAAAAATCGTCTTGAGGTTTAGAGAACTTCCCGGTAGAGACAGCTCTCTATGAATCATTTTTACACCTTAGTTGCGCTTTCTGTGGACACATAAGGCATTTTTCTTGTTATTGAAGTCGACGATTGAAAATTTCCAATAATAAATATAGGAATTTCTACACTGTTTGTTTGTTTTTTCGAGTGACTTCATATTTACGTGAGATATATTTGGATATCTAACATTTCAGATTAGCTGTGCCTTAGGGTCCTTGCAATGAAGAGCAATTATAAAGGCGTAACGGGTCAAGGGGTAAAAATAGCAGCCGCGGCTTACCTACCCTGACAGCAGTGGATGATTGATACAAGCAGGAAATGGGAGATCTCAGCTACAAGGGACAGATCGATTAGAATAGTGAAATGTATGAAACAGAGCAAATAAGTAATTGAAGCTAGGCAACGGAATTACGGATAAGGCAATACAGTCGATTTGCTAAAACAGGGTGATGGGGTGGCTAGCTAGACAATGGACTAACTCGATCAAGCGGTAGTTTACTGAGAGAAAATGATGGAAAGCTTTAACTGGAAAAGTGTAATACTGTAATACGACGACAGCGTCGAGGGAACAGACACGTCGCAACAGTTACAGAAAAACGCTTGGTAACGTTCGGTGCGTATGTCCTGTTCCGTACAAACTAAACGCGTGAGAAACGCGCAAACGAATTAGTGGTCTTGATTGTTAAAAGGTAGAAGCAGGCAGATGTCATACATGTCTCGTATCGCTCTGTACCACACTTCGGTTCTGGCAATGCTAAAAAGTAGGTAGTATGTACCTGATATTGACTAACACCTTTTCTGTTAGGTTATTATACATAGTACATAGAATAGAAAACATAATATACAATTGTATTCATAGAAACATGATGTCAAGATTAAAATAGTCGTGAAATAAAAAATTTTTTTTTACACATGCGCCCATAGTTTAAGAAAGGACGTCCTGCCTAGTACAGCGTGCAGGATTCCCCGTAACGTCGGTAGCTGCATGAAAATATAGATGCGTCTGGCCAGCTGCGCAGACCATCTTACGTTTACAAAGGATGAACAGTTTTTTAAGTTATAGAGTCTATAGCCTTACAGTGATATTCATTTGTTCTACGTAGACAGACTGTGTCCTTTTAACAAATTAATAATAGTAAGTTTACTTCAACTCTTTTGGTACTTAGTAGTTAAGCGAGCTTTCAAAATCAAAGAGCTTTTGTTTTCATTCAAGTAAAGAAACAGTGAATCTTGTTAAACTCGATATATTTCTCCCGCGATATATAAACTCATTTTAAATCCAGCATATTTGCTTTACTATTATGGATACTCATGTAGTTTTTTTAATATATAGCCAATAAATATTTCGGCCATTAGGTGGATTATTCTAGGAAGCTTATTATTAAAGGAAGCTTCGTTATTTGAGCTTCTTGTTGTTCATTACTCGTAAGAGCAGGCTACGTTGGTCGCTTTAATCTCGTATTCTTTCCTTTATCTTTGCTAGCCACTGGCTTTTACGTTTACTTATTACATTTATTAGACATTTCGGTTCGACCCCGACTTCATTGAGCCTCCTTGTGCATCCCTTCTTATCCTTATTCTATAGGGATAGGGGCAGTAAGCGGCCGAACTCCTATGGGGTTCCATGCACAGCCGTCGGCCCCTCTGTTACCTCAGGCATTCTCTTTCTTCCCATAGAGCCCATCGAGTTGGCCATCGCCCCCCTCGTCTATTGCTGCTCTTTCTCGATAAACCGCTCGCGCTCTGTTTATCTATTTATCGCTATCTTGCGGGGCCGCCGTTTGGCCTGTGACTGAGTAGGTGCGCGAGGAGCCGTGTCGGCTATGTGCCTTTGCTGTTGGTCTCTGTGGCCGTGCGGCCATCCCTCCTTCCTTCGGCCATTCGATCGGTCGACAACTGTTGGCCGACCGTCAATTGCTCCGCTGCAATAGGAAGCAGCGGTGGCAATAGTGGCAGCAGTGGCTCTGTGAGCGCTGACTGCGGTGAGGCTCCTCCCCCGGGCGGGCTTTCCTCCTCCTTGCCGAGCACTGCCTCTACCGAGGCCTTTGCTGGCCGCTGCTGCCTAGCGGATCGTTCGCCGCTGCTGCCGCCGCCGCTGCCGACCTCTTCCCGCTTCCCGCTTTTCGCGGCGCCGCTCCCCCAACCCATCTCTAACCGCCATCACTCTGCTACTGCTGCGGCTGCTGCCGCCGCTGTGGCTGCCGCTGAGCTTGCTCTGCTTGCGAACAACGGCAACGGCGCTGTTTGAGGGCCCTGCCTGCCTGTCTGCCACCTAGCTAGCCAGCCAGCTCCTTCTGTCTGCTTTGTGCGATCCCCATCCCGGCGAGGCAGCAACGCGCGCGCGCCAGCCGACGACGATGACTACGACCGACGTTGAATAGCAGCCGAACGACCGAAAGACGACGGCGGCGACGACGGCACCGAGCACGGGTGCGTGCGAGCATGCGTGCGAGTGAACGAGCAAATGATTGACTGGCTGCCCGCCCTCATTGTACTGTCCTCTGCTGCTGCTGCTGCTGCTGCTGCTACTACTACTGCTGCTGCTGCTGCTGCTGCTGCTGCTGCTGCTGCTGCTGTTGTTGTGCTGTGCTGCGGAAGCTCGTGCTGTGTCTATGCAGGCCCACGGTCGCTCTCTGAACGGAGCCCGCCGGCAAATCGGAACGCCGACTTTTGTGACCAAACAAATAGCAACGGCTAAATAGACGACAGAGACATAACGACAGTAGCGATAACACTAAGCAGGCCACGGAGGGAATAGCATAAAGGAGCTGAGCAAACTCAGGCCATAGGGACGAGGATGACGGCCGTCGCTTGGTCCGTCGTTGGCCGCAATTAAGATACTGATACTGAAGGGCATAAAAACAATACAGCTGCCACATCATATAAGAAGGAAGAAACAAAAGTCACTCCGCGCAGCCGGGAGCAGTGTGTGTCTTTTCTAATGGGATTGAGTTCTGCGCGATCTTCACGGGCGATTAGCATGTGAGATTTACGGTGTCTACCGCTGAAACACAGAGGAGGTGAACATAGTGTGATCACTCAAAGCATAAATATATATATATATAACGGTGAAGCAAGGAAGGGGGCACAAAGTTCAACAGGAGGGGCGTTCGTTGTGAACGTGTCCATGTGTGTGTGTGTGAATGTGTACATTTGGAAGTTCTGTATTTCACCTAAGAGACGTATTAATTAATACCTAGAGGATAAAGGATATCGTCGGTAGCTGCGTGCAGCTAGCTTGCGGCTGCTGCTGCTGCTGCTGCCGTCGTCGTCGTCGATTAGGCGTTACACAGGCTGGTGGTGATCCTAAGTTCTTACAAAGCCAGTGCATGCAAACAGGCGGGCAGGCGGGCGGGTGGGCAGTTGCCAACTGTTAGTGACCCCTTCCCGGTGACAGAGAGTGTATGTCGAAAACAAGACCAGCACCAACAACAACAACAGCAGCAACAACAACAACAACGACAAGATTAGAGAGAGATACTCAACGTAATTTGCACAGGCTGTAGCAACGATATTTAGTAGAGTGTGAAGTGGCCGGTCTAAAAGGAGCTTGTGTTTGTCTGCGTGGGAAGTGCGTGTCGAGTGTGAGGTATGGGACGACCTCGACGGGTCTCGGAGTGACACCTTGGTGCCTTGTGGTTGTGTCGAGTTTACCTAGAGAAAAGTGCAGCAAATTCAACGCCTAAAGTGGCGCAGACAGGAGGTTCCACGATTAACGAAGGCTTCAGTTTGAAACAACGAACGCTGGAGAACGGCACTGCTACCTACGCTACACAGTGCTTAATTATGGACCTCCACGATGCTAGCGCCTACAACTTCTTCAGGTACCTTGCATACATCGCTTTGTTAAGTTACACACTTATCAATGCGATACGGCTATTAATGTACGAAGAGCTTTTTTTTTTTTTTTCTCATAGTAAGTGCATTAACCAGTACCTCAGTAATGCATACCAGATGTATATAAAGCTAACTAGATATCTGCAGCCATCAATCAGCTGTTTGTGCTGATAATGTTAGCACACTCCTCAATCACAGAGCAATCCACTGATATTTGCCGAAAATGCTCTAGACTGGCGAGATTTAAAATTTCAATAGTCTAGTTTCCAATATACCAGCTAGCAGTAAAAGTAGAGCTGACGACGTAAAGTTTGCCAAAGATTTTGGAAGATCCAATAGATGCGTATGTAGTCATCAACGCCATTATCACAGCTGTTAATCCAATTTAATAATGGAGCAATAGAAAGTATGTTATGAGTTTGAAAAGTTTCTTTTTTTCGCTAATAAATTGCAGCGATGACCACAAACATGTTGTGACTACAAACACAAGACGTTGACATACAATGCAAATGGCTTTGAGTCTAGCGGAATATTGCGTTTGGACTCTTCCTCAGAAAATTTGTTCACTGTAAATGGGTACCATAAAATATACCGGAGTAAGCTAATTATTCTTAAAGCTATAGCGCGTGTTCTGGACACAAATGAACCAGCTGATACCGAATCTTAGCACCATGCGTGACTACCCAGTATCTCTCATCTATGGGGAAGTAGCCATGCAATGAGACGATGTTTTCGGGCAAGTCACGTTGAAGCGGATCGCACGATATCATTTTGGTACCGATATTAATTTATGGTCATCCGAAGACAACTGTGCCGCCCCATGCTTGGCACGTTAAGCTGACTATGATTAGAAAAATTGTATCGACAGTTATCCGCTTGCTATCGGCTCTTCCAGCTCAACGGGGGCAGCAAGCAGCATAGGTGCTTCAAATAGACCGGCACAAACCCAAGATTCAGCCGATCAAAACACCCAAAAACCACCGATGTGCGCTGGCAGTGTACAACAGTCAATGACGATACGACGAGGGCTATGTAGGACACCTTTCTTTTAACAAGGATGCGATAAACAAGTTAGTATGACCAGCAGCGGGAAGGAGCACGAGGGAGGTGACAAGTAAAGCAGTAATCAAGACGTTGACAGATAACGGACTGTTGTTGCAGGAACAAGGACACAGGATCAGCGAATCGACGATATCCCAGAGTATCCTTTAAATGCAAACAACAGCAAAAACATAACTGTGTCACTCAACACTGAGTACTGCCCTGAACGGAATTACTCAGCGTATGCAACCAAGAATTGATCTCTATTAGAAAATCCATTGGCACGTGACGTTCGCGCTTGGTACACGCTTATCGAACTGGAAAACACCAGCCAGGTCTCAAAAAGGCAACAAAAAGTAGAAAAGACAGAGAAGTTCAATTGCTGCACTATGAGACACGATCTCTGCCTTCGTTACGATGTGATATATACGCTTTGCTTACCATAGCCCATACTGCTATCTATGGAAACTAGAGGAAAAAGAAAGGG